TGCAGGTCTACTTCGATACGAAAGATCAGACTCCGAGAGAGTCATGTCGCAGAAGACGCCACCGAAGTGAAAGCAGTTGGAAAAAGCGCTCACATCAGGGATCTATGTTAAATCTTCGAAAGCGCTTGTTGTCACATGCGATCATGCGTGACTGAACTCCGACCGAAATGTTCAAAATTTCTCCCTCTAGCGGCACATGATCATACAGGAGCTTCAGGTCCCGCTGTCGGATGTCGGCAGAAAAACAGTTTAGCCATCCACTGGCTGGACACGAAGTCTAATGACCACAAAAAACATCTCTGTATGTATTTCTCGGGCCATGGACGCTTCGAACAAGCTTCTCCTTTGCTGAAGCACCGCTCTCGCCCGCCCAGCCGGAAACTGTTCATTTGTCGCTCGACGTTGCAATCGATACTGTACTCTTAGAACCGTCTGCAAAGCATGGGACATGTGTATCGGCACCCGTGCTGTCCGTGATCCAATGGCTCGTTCGCCCCAGTTAAGTGGAATAATGCCCCACCCATGCACTGCTATGGAAATCATGTTGAGTTACGCAGGCAAAGAGCCGCCTCTGTTACAGGACAGTAGTCAAGAAACCCAACCGCAAAAGCCCACCCCCTGCCGGGTCGGTTCAAATGTGACCTGAGTAGTCGGCCTGTTGCCTTGCTGAGTACATTCGTCGGATAAATCGAGGCAGCATTGCCTAGCGACGGCCAAGCCAGTGAAACAGCTTGCACGCACATCTACAGCCTTATTGATCTTGCATGGGTTCCTGAACGGTTTTTTTTGGTCACTGTCTTGCCAAAATGCACCTCGGACGTAGAGTGATATGAAGCTGACAGTAGCCGAATCCAGACATCTTGTCAGGTGTGCAAAGACAAAGTTGCAGCTCCGTCCGATCTGGTTCGGGCCGAGGCCGTTGGAGTCGATAGTCAGTGTCTGCCGCGCTAGCGTCACCTGACATCTGCATGAGAAGACGAGCAGGTTGAGATGCTGAGAAGCCTCGAGCATCCGAGTGTACCCCAGGTGCGGTGATGGTGTCGTAGGTGATGGTGGAGACGGAATTGAGAAACTCTCTGTTCCGAATTCCAACAGCTGGCATCACGAGGTGATCGCTAGCTTTGAAGATTTCAACAACATCTACATCGTGTCAGCTGCTCAGAAAGCAATGCTGGAGTGATAAGGCAATGTAGAGCTTGCTTGTGCCCAAAGAACTGGCAAGTTTACAGCTCGCGCAGCCGTTGTGGAACGAGCTGCGAGGATGACGACAGGCTTACATGATTTGTTAGAGGTTTGTCGGAGTAAAGCACTATACATGACCGCCACAGACAGGAAGTGTTTCAGGGCCATACCTTGCGAACATCACAACCTCTGCACTTATGGGACGATGTCTCATTGCCTCGTTAGCAGTGATCAGCCTTGGCTTTGCCTGCATACGGGGACAAAGCCTTCCCACCATTGACTACTTGAACTTGAATTTGGAGTCCAAGTTCCTCCTGCAAGCATTCGCCGAAGACGGAATCCTGCTTGTCCCTGGTGTACCAGGATATGCTGCGGCAAGGACAGCAGCCCTCTCAGCGCTGGCACCTTGTCTGAACAGCGCTCCAGGAAGAGACAAAGCTCTCAGGAGGCTACTCGCAGATGGTTCGGAGAGGTCCACGATTGCCACCAAGACTCACGGACACGCATTGCAGCCCCTGTCAGTTGGATGTCCAGACTTCCAGCACAAGGCAGACATGCTCAGGACAGTGGTGCACATCGCGCTTGCTGAGGTCCTCCGTGTTTGGGGTCAAGCTGGATCTGCAGAACGAGTGATCCTCCGACACGATGCTGGCCATGCATACACAAGTCTCGCAGAGGCTGCTTCAGATGCTACGCACTTGGAACATTTCCATTTGTATTCCAGCAAAGATGCCGATGAATCGAATGCTAGTCTTGGACTTCACACGGATGCCGGTTTGCTTCTTGCCTTCACCTCACCTTTGTACCAGTCAGATCATGCCAGTGGACTGTGGATTCAGCGAGCCTCTTCAATAGAGGCTGTGGAGTTGCCAGCAGATGCGATCGCTTTTGTTGTGGGTGAGGCAGCAGGCTGGCTGCCTTGGGCCAGCCGTGCTTTGCCTCACGAACTGCGGCTGTCGCCGCGCATGTCAGATCGAGCGTGGTATGGTATCATGACCCGTCTACCGGAAGACGCGGTGAAGACCTCCAACTTTGACCCGGCATCACAGCATCAATTGACGTTCGGCCAATGGTGGGACACGGCTGCTAATTCTTTGATGTCAAAAGGCACGGTGGGCTGCGGTTCTGCACATGCAGCAGACCCGACCCACAGTTGTCCAGAAGGCGAGGCCTACTGTTGGATGCAATGCATGATGCTTCCGCCAGCCTGTACGGCCAGTACGGCGCATTGCGTACACCCAGATGGCACGCCCTGGACGAATCACAGTGAGATGTGTCCGACCTGTACTCTGACCTGCCCTGCATTTCAGGGATGGGGCTTTTGTGACGAGGCTGCTGCTTCCGATATGATAATGCAAGGATTTGTCAGCTTCGGCTTTTCGGGCAACAAAATGAAGCCATGTGTGGTGCTTTTTTTTCCAGGCTGGATCCTTAACACTTGGTGGAAGTTTTGGCTTGGAGCTGGGGGTGTTCTGATGCTGGGGGTCACTGTGGAGTGGGTCTCGACGTTGCATATCGCAGCAGAACGCAAGTTCGGGCGGCTGTTGCAGACACTACTCTATTGTGGAAGAATGACACTCGCCTATATGCTAATGTTGGCGACCATGACGTTCTGTATCGAGATTTTTGCGGCTGCTATCGCTGGACTGGGGCTCGGACATGCCTGCTTCGGAAGCTGGAAGAAAGGGCTGAGATTGAATGGACCATCGCTTTGCTGCAGTCACGGGTCTGTAGATCTCAGGCGCAGACAGTCGCGTGACATTCGTGTGACTCCCTGCTTACAAGCAGATGACTGCGTAATCCTGCGTGTGATGGGGATGACGTGTGGAAGTTGTGCCCAGACTGTGACGCATGCACTGGAAGGAGTAACCGGAGTTGTGTCCGCACGTGTGACCTTGGGCCCAGTTGCAGAGCCAGGAATCGGTACAGGTGTGGGGACGGCAGAGATCTGGGTGAACGCAGGATTTTCAGGGGTCGATGCTGCGGTCGCTGCCATTGAGCTGGTTGGGTTCGAAGCGCAGCCCGTTCCAAAAGCATGACAGAACCACGTGCTGCACTTTAATATTTAGGTGTCAGCTGGTTTCACCGAAGCTTCGCTATTTTCAGTGCTGGTGCGTGTACCGCCTTGTTGGTACTCTTCCATCGCGTATGCTGCCAGCCGGTGTCGCGAAAAGTAAGGACCACACACATTGCATGTCATATGTCGATATATAGCAGACCATCAAAGACGCAAACCTGTAGGTACTAGGTACTCGTATTGCGAATTTGCGATTTGTCAGGCTCGAGCCAGTGGAGAGCATCGAGTTAGTCAACATTCTGCCGCTCTGCATTGAGTTGGACGTGGTAGGACTCGCTTCGATGATGAACCTTCTAGTGAGTCCGCTAAACATTGTTTGGGGATGGCGGGAAATGCGTTCAAGCCCCTGTGCAGCCGCCAGGCAGCAATGGCATCAGAATGGTCAAGGATTGAGTGTTGGTTGGCTGGTCGTCAGCTTACGGCACAAACTTGTTTGCCTTGTTCGTGCACTGTCTGCCGACTGGAAGCTCAGCACTCGGCGGACAGGCCGAGATCGCCCGGCAGTTGTTGGAAGCATTCAGGCTGGATCATGCCTTCACAGATTGGAAGCATTCCACCCACCGTCCCTTAGCTAATGCCCTCGTTCTGCACCAAGAACGGACTCAGACCGTCCGAAACGAGGGCGTCGCAGCAAATGAAGCTGAGCCGTCGTTCTCACACCCGTCCACAGGGTGCAGTTGAAGTTGTTCGTCACGAACCCCGCACTTGAAACACACTGTTCTGTAGCGTGGTAGTTTACACTGGGCAGAGCAGTGTGCCAAAGCTGGCGCGCCTCACAGCCCATTCACCAGTACGCGTTGTTGCAACTTCATGCACTGTCTGGAGTGACTTAGTCGGGCTGCCAAACTCCTCCGTTAAGCCTTGTACTTTGCTCATTTTGATTGCTGAGCCTCGCATAAGGCCGCTTTTGGCCAAAATGTCAGTTTGTTTCAGTGCAACATCGTGAAGAAACGAAGCGATGACTGAATCTGAGGGCACTAAGCTGTTTGGGTACGTGAGTGCCGGTTTTGAATATGATTGACAGCTTTCCTCGCTTGTGGCCTGCGTCACGCATCGTCTGAGGACGCCTCGTGTATGTGCACCGTGCAGCAGCGGCCGGATGAGTTTACACTTTCGACCGCAGGCTTTTCGCAGCCTTCCCGAAAACCGCGACGGATCGCGATGGCGAACTCGGCACTGTCCAGCGGGGCCCCTGGCGCAGTCGCAGGCGGGAGATTCAAGCTCGGGGCCGCGGCCCGCCGCCGTGCCTTCAAAGGCAACAGTGATGAAGTAAAAACTGAAGATGAAAACGTCCTGGACGATTCAAAGTTCACCACTATGGGCTTTGCGAATATTTAATTGCAAAGGAGCACGATTGGCAAATACGCCGGCCCGACAGCTTGGCCATCCCCCCGATGAGCTCCAAAAACGTTTCGGCTTAAAGCTGTGCTTCCCGTCCTCACAGTTCCGTTGGAGCCTCGGGACATACGAGGGTGGCACGCAGGATCCCCTTGCTTTACACTCCAAAAGGTAAGACTTCCAGCTTACGGCTGTTTGTCGTGGCGCTGTCACTTCTTGCTTCGCCATCTTCTCATCGTCATCGTCTCTTCGCCTTTTGACATCCTGCTGAAAACAAGACCCCCGCCATCAACTTGGATTCGCCTACAAGACTATTGCGCCTTGGAGGAATGGAACTTGCTATAGCTTGCTCTTCACGTCAATATATTTCGGTATGAACTTTGAGAAAGGACGACTTGAAGAATGGACTCGGAGGCCGAAAAGACCCTGAGGGCAGCCCCGCTGCCTCTTGCAGGGACCTTTGCCCTATGAATCTGGCAACCGGCTTGCTCGCAAAAGCCGGCTTCGTCCGCAAACGCAACAGCCCAGTGGGGCACAGTCGCGTTTCTTCAGTTTAAGGAGGCAGCGAAATCTCGAAATTGGAGACCTTAATTTGTTCGGCAAGAGCCTCCCAGGACCTTCGGCGGGAACTAATCACGGACCACGTGCTGAAATAGGTGAAGTTCCCGGGAACTCGCATGTGGTTTTCAAGAATGGAGTGCCCGGCCGTGGACCAAGCACACGGGACGAAGAGGGCCAAGCCGAAGGAGTCAAGTCAAGACGCCGGACACCACCGCCAACCGCACGACAAGGCAATCGTGGCCAATCCCACGATGTTGCGAACGAGAGGCAGGTGGCCGGCAAGGACAAGTACAGACGTAGAAGCTTGGGCCTGGGTCACAGCGACATCACACACATGTTTGACCCGCAAGGAGAACACAGGAGAAGCATTCGCTTCACCTTTGAGAAACGGTTTGTTGTTGGCCGCAGGGCCTTTCCCAACTCGAGTACTTAGTAGAGGGCTGTCGCAATGAAGCAACTGTGAATGCAAGGCACCGGCACTTGAAGCTGCTCAGATGCTCAACGAGATCTTGCATCAACAAGCCGCACAAGCCAGAAAGAAATTCCTTCTGCTGAACATGGAAGGTGGTTGTGGCGCTGAGTCGATGCTTGTGTGTCGACGTTGTGAGCGTGGCCTTGATCGAGCTGTGTAGAACAACGGTCTCCCTGGAGTGATGCCTTGACGATGTTGTGTTGTGACGGTGTAGGTAGGTTCTGAAACATGCAGTGTTGGCAAGAGCAGGCACTGCCATGAAATGCGGCCACGCAGCCTCGCACCGAGAGCACCCTGCAACGCAGGGCATATTTGTGTGTGTGTGTGTGTGCGTTTGTGCGCGCACATAGAAACAGGCCCATAGGCATCGCCAGCAGTGCAGTACAGTAGGACTGTTGATTCTATATCCTTCTTTAACAGCAGCTAGAAAATTGGCGGAAGTCCGGATTGGAGCTCTTGGTTTTCCGAATGAGGTGTGGTTCACGGAGATCTTCGCCTCACCAGCCTCTTGCTCTCTGCTGTAACGGATGCTCGGACGGCCCCACAGCTGGTCTTAGCAGACCTTGGCCGAAGCCTCAGTCGAGGCCTGGAGGTGTAAAGCTGGAGTTTCCTGCTCAGCCCCAGGCCTTGCCGGCTTGCCGCTCCCGCCGCCGCCCCTGGAGAGGCCCAAATCGGAGAATCGCTCTTTCGCTTGTTTTCCATGAACGTCTCACAGGTTCCCGGCGACTCCTTCAGTGCAAGCTTCAGCTTCGTTGCCTTTTTAGTTTGTGCCTTGACCGCATGCACGTATTGGGGAGCTCGTGGCTCAGCGGACGTTTGGAATTGTTTAGGCCCCGCAGCACGGAAGTTACTTGCCCCAAGCTTCTGCGACTTGCAGCAGTGGCAATGCAGCTTCTTGACTTGCCATGGATCCATGCTGCGTCGGTGGAAAGTCGTGGGTGGAAGAAGTTCTGGTGGCATCGTAGTTCGCGAAGGCCCTTTTGTAATGTCTGGTGTCGTTCTCGCTGAAGCCAGACGTCCTTGGTGTCGTAAAGCCACCACCAAGCTCGATCAGGTCCAGATTTGGGTGCTAAACCGGTCTCTGAGCGCTTGGCAACCGGCGCCGTCATCGAGGCCGCTCGAAGGCTCTAAAAAGCAGTCAACCTCAAAGCGCCACTCTGCAACTCCATGCGCGCAGGGTCCTGCTTCCAGGTCTTTGTGATTGTTACTGGCCCAACACAGGGGAAATTAACTTCAGAAGAGGTAATATCGTTGCGCCTTACGTCAATGAATGCTGGATATTGGTAAGACCTTGCAAGATTAGCCTGTTAAGAAGCTCTGCGCAGGAGGAGACAGCTTTGGCGGTCGGTACCTGTGATCGACTTCGATATCGCAAAATATTGGGACAAGGACCAGAAACTGGCTGGATAAGTTTTGAAGCGAACGGAAATCGTCTTATCACCCCTGTTAAGCATGTGTCGTTTAAAGAGACGTCGTGGTTGGAGACCACACGATATCAAGAGATTGCGCAGGTCCGTGCAGTAGTTGAAGCTGACTGCTGTGAAGTCGGCGATGCCGTTTCGGCGGCGTTTCAAGGCGATCCTGGTCTTATCGGCCCTGATGCTTGCCCGGGCGTTGGGAATCTACTTTGGAGAGATCAATCTGCCAAGCAGACCGGGCTTCCTTTACCAATTCCTGTCTCGGAGCAATGGCGTGCGGTCGTCAGCAGCAGTACGGAGTTTTCTGAGCAGTCAGTTTGGGATGGTGGTGTCGAGAACTCCGCGGGGTCTTTTTCGCTGGGGCTTCGGCCGTTGTTCCCTTCCGAACGTATCGAGCGGCTACACTTAAGTTGTGATGGAAGAAATAGTCAGTTGAAGGTGTCTGTTTTGAGCGATGCAGCAAGAATGCAGGGCCCACTTCGGGCGAGAGAGGTTGTGCAGTCTACGCTGACGGTGTCAGAAGAATCTAGTGTGAAGCCCTCCCGACGGTATCATTTACGTATTGACTGTGATCGAATCACTGAAGCTACCAACAAGGGGCTCGGCCAGGAGATGTCTCGCGAACTGGAGCGGTACTTCGAGCCTGGTTGTGTTTTGTGCACTTGTGAAGTTCGGCCCCGTGTGGACGGTCGGACGGAGTTGGTTCGAAGATTGCTTGGCGGGAGCATACTCATGGAGGCGGCACCGGGTCTAAAGCCTGCGGGTAAACCAGATTTTTCAGAGGCAATTCCGTTGCTATCCAGCCAAATCCTTTTCATGCTCGACGTGGAGACTCGAGTCTGGCTGTCAATTCGAGGCTTTCCTTTGGTCGATATCTGGCGGGGAATACGCAGGCCCTTTCAATGGGCAGTGTTTAGTGGAATAAATGCGGCCGCTTCTCAAATCTTTGCGGTAGGCAGTGCCGCTGACACAATTGCTGAGCAAAAGCTGGGGCTTGATTTGCCTGATCAAGCCGTCGACGAGCTACGCAACATGCTGCCGGAATGCAAGAACAGCGTTGGCGAGAAGCACGGCCAATTTACAGAAGGCTCGGTGGACATATTGAGCTTTATTGGGCTACTGAACCGTGTTTGCAAGAGAGCCGACGCGTGCTCGGACATCTTCCGAGAGTTTACTGATCTAGGCTCGGGCAGAGGCCATGCAATTCTGGCTGCTCATGCTTTTTTTCCGTTCCGCAAATGCCGCGGGTACGAAATCGATGAAGAAGCACTTAGTGCCGCGGAAACGTCGGCCCGCCACTACGTGCGCTCCGGACTTGTTATGCAAGCTCGCTCGACTGCTATACCTCACAAGATGTTTCTTCGAGCAGACTTCGTCCGGGAGCCCAACTGGACAGATTCTTCCGTTGTCTTTGTGAACGGTGTAACTTGGCCCAGCAATCTTATCGCAGAAACAGCAAGGCTGGCACTGCGACTCAAGCCCGGCTCTGTGATAATGGTCGTTGCTCGTCGCTTCCCTGTCGAAATGGAATTTCTGCAGGCCTTCGATGTAAGAGGGGAAGCTTGCTTGCTGAGCTTCTCCCGAACACGGCCTTGTCAAGTGTTTGTTTACCAGCGTAGATAGACGGTTCTGGTTTCACCTTGTGGAAGCCGTCTGTCGGCCTCATGCCTCAAAAGTCTCAAAATTATGTGTTGGCGGGTTCCGTGCCGATTCCTTACCATAAGCCGGCCATGCACTTACATGGTGGGCGCACACTATAAGGAGGTCCGAGTTACTTGCCTCTAGTTCTGCTAATCAAGAGATCCAACAGAGGTTCCATTAACGTCGTGAAAGTCAGTGCTTCCGAAGACTTGTGGGGTGCCGGCAGATCATCTTAGATCAACACCAGGCACAGCAAGCCGCGGCGCCGTCTTCCGGATCGGAGGCTGACAGATTTGCACGGGTTTGCACAGACTTTGGAATTCCGCTTTGTCGCCTGTGCCGAAGCAGAGTACTGGTATAGGAATGGATGCAAAGCCCGAGCACGCTCCTGGACGTATGGTCGTGTGGGTGGTGGAACCAAGCAAGCTGTGGTGAATTGCTGAGATTGCTTCGTCCAAATTGGATGGCTCAGGTGCCTGCTGTTCATTCTTCTCTCCGGTCGCCATCCTTTCAACTGTGATCTTGGTGGGCGACTGCCAATGCCCCAGTCGCCCATTGAGTCACACAAGAGGCTGCATGGTTGTTTGCAGGGTGCCAAGTGCTGTTCTGGGAATCTGGGGCTCTGTTCCCCCCGAACCTGATTGGCGACTGCTTGGATCTCGGCCATCACGATCTGCCCAGCATGCAGAAAGCAACTGTTTCACATCATTTCAATTCTGAAGGCTACCTTCTGCCTCCTCCACGTCTCTCTGCGCGCAAATGCTGTCGTGGGACGTGAAGGTTTCAGGTCGGTTTACTCGACTTCGAGAAATTATGCTCGAGCAGGCGCGCCCCTCGGCAGCCGAGTGCCTGCGGCACTCCTGGCTCTCAGCGGAGGATTCCGACAGTATGGCCCTGCCCATGGAGGCCGCGTCTGCAAAAGTTTCTGACAAGCACTGCGCAAGCGTGTGGCAGAGCATCGCAGGCCCTCGGCAACCTCTTGAAAGCTCATCACAAGTCCAAGTTGCAAGAGGCAGAACTTCAGGTTGCTTTGCTGAGTTTGGGTTGGTGTCCGTCCAAGATCACCGCGGGACTTGCGATATCAGAGCAGATCGCCAGCCCCTTCTCCGCCGCTCGGTGCCTGGTTTCCGTCACGACTTCGTGTCCTGGGCATGTCAATATCAATATCTGTGCAGATCGCAGCGAGGTTGGCGCATCCTTGGCTGTCAAGCACGCTTTTGCTGATTTGGCAGGCAGTGCTAGAGTTTCGGAATTTTTTGGAGTGCGGCAGTGCAAGTGTTCAGACTGCAAGGTGATGCGGCCGCTGGTGCAAAGGCCAGCAACTTTTGCGCCTGCTGATGGGTTGCCGATACCTTTTGACTTTTGACCTTCAGAGCTGTTCGAGGAACCAGTAATGGCCACTGTTGCAGCATCAGAAGCGAGCAATGCTTTGGAGAAGTTGGGAATGTCTGCAGCTGGCCTAGTTCGCAAGTGTTCTGCGTCGTGGGAAAGCAGGAAGCATAGCGCTGAACTGAGGACAAAGGTATCGAGAAGGTCATCAAGGCATTTGCTGATGATGCAGGACGGACACATGCTGTGAACACTGGCGGCAAAGGATGCAGCAGGGTATATGAGTGCATCCGATCCCGGCTCCCCCAAAACGGCAACGCTCAATGGAAGCTTGTGAATGGTTGGGCTTGCTGTTTTCCTTGCTTTTTTTGGATTGCCTACAAGCGAGGAAACTTGTCGGTCATACGTCTCAAGATTTCCGCAAGTTGAAGGTTTCACAGTCCTTGCTCTTGCCCGGTCTCCGAAAGTGAAAGCCCCACCTCTAGTTTAGTAGAACTGCCCTCGACAGTGTTCAGAGAGAGGCTCATGTTGGATCGGGACGTAGGAAGATCCCAAGAGCCAGCACGAAGCACACCAACCTTTCCGCTGTGCCATTGCGGTCTACGCCCAGCCAGCCGGCAAACCACAGCACCTGTACCTGGGAGTTAGCGGCAGCGTGGCACAATGGGAGTACATCTGTGGCAGCGCATGACAAGACACGCTCACCATCCATGTGCACCAACAGGACAAGGTGAGCCCAAGTTTCACGGAGTCTTGGCAAAGACGGGGAATCCAACCGTGCGTTCTTCGCAAACCAGACTCCTACCGGGCACAAGACCACCGCACGATCGCCCAGAGGGAATGGAATACCATAACAGGTGCGAGGCACAGACCAAGCAGAAACGAGCAGGAGCACACGCCAGCACCAAACAGCAGGACCCGGACGACAGAAGGAGTTTTACGACCAGTGCCGGGCAGTGAGGTTATTTTTGGCCTGTGGTAGTGAAAGCGTTAATCGCTCAGCAACAGTTTTCGAGCCACCACGCTACAAAGGCGAGCCGGGCCACCCGCGATGTTTGGATTGACCGTTAACTTCTTACGACCATTTCTCCTTGTACATGGCCCAACAATGGCTGCACTTCGTAGAAAGTCTAAATGTAGGAACCACACATGCTACTGGTAGACATACAAGAGGATGCCGATGGTGTTGCGCTAGCTTGGCAAGCATGGCGGAGGACAAACAAAGATCGGGGTGCAGCTGCCACCAAGAACCCCCTTTACCACTCGTTTCCCAGCCATCGGTTCTTCATTCTCCGCGTGATACGCAGAGACAACTAGTTGGGTGTTGTTTTTGGTATTTCTTGGTTAGATTTTTTCGTTTTCCTCTGAGCCTCTTAGTTTGGATTCTCAAACCAACCGTCCGTGGCTGAGGAGGCAGTCAGTCAGTCAGCCAGTCAGACCGTCGGTCGGTCAGTCAGTCGACTCATGCACAGTCAGTCACGCAATCAGCCGGTCAGTCGCCAGTTTGGTCCTATGTTTGTTGGGCACCTTATGATATACTACATTTAACCTCAACATGACATTGGCATGGCATAGTACGGTATGATATGACATGATAGTAACGCCGATGATATGTCGAAGTAGCAAACAGTAGCTGCATAGAAATGTACGACATAAAGTATAAAGCATATTGTATGATCTGTATTCTATATATATATATGCTACCCCCCTCCAAAACCTACCTTGGATCCTCTTCTTGTACTTGTTTAGACTACGTTACGACTCCACTCCGAACAAGAGTCTTGCATCCTACAGCCGTTCAAACCAAGGTTAATGATAGTGAGTATGGCTTATTATCCCCTGTCCACGACGACGCAGACCCGCTCCAACCTAGATAGTGATGCTAATCTTTGCCTAGTATTCTATCTTTATGACGGTTCAAACCAAGATAATGATACGATACCAAGAGTTGCCTAGTGTTCCCAGTCTACAACAAAACAAAACCGTTCAAACGAGATAGAGGTACTAAGTATTGCCTAGTATTTCCTGTCTACGACGACACAACACCGTTCGAACCACGATAATACAACGCAGTATTGTCTAATGTCCTTTGTATATTACGCTATTAAATGGCGAGCTCCGCCTGATTTTCCTTATTTAGGTCTTTATCTGTAGGGTATGCTATAGGGTATTGCATAAGGTATTTCAAAGGGTATCCCAAAAGGTATTCTAGAGGATATTCTATGAGGTATATTTGAGGTATACAGAGGGTATATTACGTAGACTGTCGCTGCGAGATATTCTACTACAGGTTATTCCAGATGGTATTCTACAGGCAGTCTTTCAGGTATTCTCTAGGTTACTCCATAAGGTAACAAAAGGTATTCCGTAGCCTGTTTTTCGGAAAATATTCTATAGGATATTCTATTCTTAAAAATAATTTTATAAGGTGCCTGATTTTCTTCATAGGAACCCCTTATATACCCAAGAGCTCTCAGATCTTGGACTCCGACTGGTTTCCCATATCTAAAGTCCCTATCTATGGGGTGATTTATAGAGTATTCGATAGGGGGTTCTAAAGGGTATCCTATGAGGTACTTTATAAGCTTTCTACATGGCATACATAAGGTATACAGGATGTATCATATGTGGACGGTCTTCTACAAGGTATTCTACAGGATACACCATTCTATAAGGTATAGGGTATATCGGCGGAATTGTATACAGTATAAAAGTAGTCTAAAGGGTAATCTTTAGGTTATTCCACAAGGTATCGCAGAAGCTATTTTATGGCATATGTATAAGGGGTGTTTTATAAGGGTTCTGCTCTCTATATGTATCCCTCACTAGATAAGCTTTGATTTGTTCAAGCACTTCCTGGATCCTATTTTTAGCGTTTCACATAAATCCCTTACCCAGTAAACTACACACGCAACTGGGGAACTCGCAGATTTTCGGAAATCAAGGTAACAGGGTGGTATTCTATAAGGTATTTCTGTGTTTTGAGGTACTATATAGGCTGTTCTCTTTTATTCCTCATTTCTTTCGTAGGAGTCCCTTGCTCAATAAGCTACAAGATGGGCTCCTCCTACTTTCCCCCATATAAATCCTGATCAGGGTTTCTCAAGGGTATATATAAGGTATACAGGTAACATCGTGTATAGGATTTGCCATAAGGCACTCTATACAGTGTTCCAGACGGTATTCTATGAGGCTTATATAGGGTATACAAGAGAAAAGCAAGGTATTCTCTGGAGCATAAATACTGAGCTATACTGAAGTTATACTGAAACCCAGCCCGGATCAGAGATCAGAGATGCCACGGAAAAGTTTTACAGGGCATGTCTGATCTCTGATCTCTGATGCGGGTCGGGCTTGAGTAAAAGATACTGACTTATACTGGGCATTATCCTGCATACACGGTTTCTTTCGGATTATGTAGTAGTGTTCGTATACACTGGTCCGTGTTTGCGCATGTGTGCGTGTGTGAGCATGTGTACTGACGTGTGGTAGCATACATGTCTACAGACAGGTTTCGACACGACGGAAAATATCAATAAATATCGAAGAATATCAAATTTGATATTTTTCTTTGCTTTGAACGTTGAACATCGAAGATGCTCGGAAAAGTTTCTGTGGGATCTTCGATGTTCGATGTTCAAAGCAGCGAAAAATATCAAATTCGACATTGCTTGATTTTTGTTTTGTAAGTGTGATGTGTGCGGTCTAGTCCTTAATCGATGTGACTGCAGTGTACAAACTACTGAAAGGTAGTTTTTGGGATACCATATACATATATATATATATATATATATATACATACATACATACATACATACATACATACATACATACATATACACACATACATGTATAAAACTATGTTATTTATGTATGTATGTATGTATGTATGTATGTATGTATGTATGTATGTGTGTATGTATATATCTATGTATGTATGTACTGTGCTTATCGTTTGTAGTGCATTCTTGTCTCTTAGTTTCTTTTTCACCCTCTCTGTACAAACTCTTCTTCTGTGCATGTCTGTGCATGCGGTATGTGTCGTGTACTGAACTTATGTTGTAATTCAACATGTTACAGGCTCAGTACAGGTCAGACATCAGGCGTAGGATATGTAGCATACATGGTTTTTTCTTGGATGAGCAGAAGAACATTACAGAGATGTTCAAGAACCTCATGCTATCAAGAGAGAAACTGCTTCAATGCCCAAATGAATCCACTTCTAACCCGTGATTTGCGCATTGGTTTTGAACATATCACTGCAGTAGCCCACACTTGTTTCGACAGAACTTCCAAACAGAGGAGCAACAAATAATCATGATGAAGGAAAATGAACTATGCTTTTGACGAGACGGTACCACGGAGGAAGGAAGGAGTGAAGGTACGCACCCCCGCCCACCCCCGCCACATACATTTTTATGTCCCAAAGTAAGTACTTTCAAGGTTCGTATGCGCATACGTAACCACCCTCCAACCCAACTGCGAACACCACTTCAAGAAACCTCATCAACCGCCATCGCCTAATGAGGGGCTGGGTCTAAGACATGTGTGCATCCGCGTTGGGCAAAGAACGGGGCGGGCTTGAGAAATGTGGTCAACTGCCATCGCCTAGTGAGGAGACGGGATTAAGAAATGTGATCAACCGATTCAACCGCCACAGTGTAATGAGGGAGGGGTCTGAAGAAATGTAAACAACCGCCATCATTCAATGTGGAGGATTTGTAGAAAGTAAGTGTCAACTGCCGTCTTGTAAGATCGCATATGGAAGTGGGCAGGTTTAAGACATTTTAAGACTGCGGTCAACCGCCATCGCCGAGGGTCTGGGTTTTGAGAACTACCAACCGGAATCGCTCAGTGAGGGGAGGGTTTTCAAACACGCAGTGGGCAACCGTCGTCGCCTAATGAAGGGGAGGGTTCAGGACATGTCATCAACCTCCATCACGTAATGAGGGCGTGGGCTTCAGATATGTGTTCAATCACCATGTCCGGGTAAGAAGAAGGGTTTAAGAAATGTAAAGAACCGCCAGCGCCGAATGAGGGGGCAGTTTTCGGAAATGCGATGAACCGCAATCGCCTAGCGGCTTAGGAGCAGCGGCCCCGCCAACAGCCGCATGTCTTCAGGATCGACACTAGCGGCTTACAGAACTGCGTTCAACCGCCAGCGCCGCGAAGGCGGGAGTAACATATCTGATTAGTGGCCCCCAATGAGGGGCGGGCTTGAGAAGTGTGATCAACCGCCATCGCCGACAGGGTGGGCTTGAGACATGTGATCCGCCGCCGTTGCAGGAATGTGATCAAATGCCATCGCCTAAGGAGGGGGCGCGGTTGAGAAACGTACCAACCGTCTCGCCTAACTTTGGGGCTTGCTGAACAACCTGATCAGCCGTATGATCAACCGACGCCAGCGAATACGGGGCGGATTCTGAAACATGTGATCAACCGCCATCTCCTCATGAGGGGCCCGGGTTGGATCGACCGCCATCGCCTAATGAGGGGGCAGGTTCAAGAAACCTTTTCACCATGCGTTTGCGACGCCTTGAATCGACATGGCATAGACGAAAAGCTTGCAACGAAGCAGGATAGTAACGAGTATGTAGTACTGTTTAGGGTGCAGGTAGAGGTCCAGGGCAGTCCATTTCAAGCAAAAACCATGCGACGTTGTTTACTCGTGGGCGAGAGAGAGGACGGTACCTTCTCGATTTCCCTCATAACTTGCCGCAACACAGGACCGCAGTCCAAACAAACATCACCTCGCCTCGAAAGGGCAAGCAGATTCATTTCGCAGTTGTTTTTGACTGTCGAGCTTGTTTTGGCTGTGTTCCTCCTGATCCTAGTTGTTTGAATCAACCCACTGCCTGGGCCTCGAAGCCTGTCCCCAATAAGCGTGGGGGTCGTTTCTCTATGTTGGTTTGTCTGTCTCATCGAAGAAGGGGTGTGTCACAGCCAAACGGCCGCTCATCCCTGTCACGGTTCTGTGGATTTTTTCAGCGAAAATTAGGGTCCCATGTCCGTGTGATGATTGATGATCCAGTTCCCAAGCCAAAAAATCGTTTCGGAAGTAGCCTCGTCCCTGGTACTGTTGTTTCTTTTCCCTTTTCCCTGGTGTTTGGACATAGATGTAGGCCGCGCCACAATCTCAGGTGGGTCAAGTTTCATCGTATTAAATGATGTTGAATGAGGCTAGTTCTGTATGATCGGTCAAACCAGCTTGGAAAAAAGCCCCAATCCCTGTGACTCTTGCAGTTTCTGCATGATGAGGGCAGCAACTTCCCAACTTGTCGTCATAAATCCGCACACAATCCAGCAAGATCTCATACGCATTTGAACTTTGCATTGCCTGTTTCAACTAGCGTCCACTGTTGAAGCATGTAGAGCTAATACAGCACACGAAGCAACATCCCGTTAATTTTTTGTGTTTACAGGAAACCAAGTCCAAACAACAACGCGTTTTTCACTTAACACCTACACCTGTGCAACCCCGCACGGACCTTCTTTTGTACTGTAGATATTTCTATATTTGGCAGGAGTATTGCTGTCATAGGTATCATAGGGGCGATGGCATAGCAATCGGCAAATGCTTTTAGATTTGTGTGTTGCCAACGACTTTCTCGTAGCAAACACGTGGTTCAAACACCCACATGGCCGCCGAATGGTTCCCCAAACAGATCTGGCGGCTGTGCATAAGCCGTAGCAAATCGCAGTGCCCCGCATGCTAGTCAGTGATCAACTTTGCCTCGTGGTCGTCCCGCCCTCCCGCTCCTTCTCCGGCGTGGCGTTGAGTCGCTTTAATTGGAGGTGCAGGTGGCGGACCTGTTGCCATGCTTCTCCTGCAACCGCCTCTTGAGTGGAGGGACTTGTTCAGCTATCTTCGGCAGAAACGAGGAGGCGCAAGGCGTCGGCATAGCGGAGCCGAGGTCCCGGAAGATCAATCCGGACTGCAGGACGACCGGAAACGGGCCAACTCCATATGGGTAGTTCTCTCAATTCGGGCCCCATTTTAGGTCCCCAATATAGTACGGCACTATTATAAAAAGGACCCTAAACGAGACCCTAATTTAGAGAGCTACCCATATGTACAATCAAATGGGCAGAGTCAAGGCCGGTCTTGGACCAATCGTGATGGCTCCTTAAACGCTGCTTAACAGTGATAGGAGAATTGAGAAGTAGAAAAGCGGCGCCGATGCTCGGGGTGAGTGAGTGGGCCAAGGAGAAAACAGGAACATCGATTGGAAGAGTGACAAATTCCACTCCTGTCCGTGGCCGGAGGCCTTCCTAAATTTGTTCCGTCGCCCCCTTTGACCCCTACCTCGCACGTTACTCGAAAAAGTCTGTGGTCGGTCCCTTCGGGTCGCGTCCAACCCCTACTAGTATCATCCGGAACTCGCCACGATTGTAATTCACGAGCAGTGTCTTCAAGCACGGCGGTCAAACAGGTTCGCATGAGAGAAGACTCAGTTTTTATTTGGCAATTGTGCACGCCAGCAGGCTGTGTCGACTACCAACGCCTCATCTCTCACTGCGCTGAGTTGGCGGAGGCCGTGCGGATATGCATTGGGGGTCGGCATGTATCGGGGAGCTGCAGTTTCAGAGGATCTCCTTGATCATGCACTCTGGCGGGTCTTCACCGCAGTGCGGGGCGCAGTTGTGTATGCTGGATGCGAAGATTTCTCAGCTTTGGAGTGAGGCCGGCGAAGATCACCGAGGAATTTTAGGAGCTGCTGAGTTGGAGAAGGCTTTAGCAGAAAGCGCTGGCGAAGGCTCCAAACGCGAGCAGACGTTACTGTAAGTGCCATGCCAGTGACCTGTTCGCTGTTTGCATCGAGGTGGCGGAGCTGACAGGGCAGGTGGTGGTGAACCCGATTCGCAAGGGAGTTGCACTCAGTTTGTGACTACATTCGTTGGTCAAGAGCATGGCAACAGGATGGAATCACCGTTTCACTCATTGATTGAGCTTGCCCATATAAGGCCCTTCGGCTTGGAAATGAAAGCCAGTGACATCGTGAGGCAAGTGGCGTGCGGCCGGCAGCAGGTGCCAATTCCAATCTGCTGACTCACTGATGACGCATCACAGCTCATAGTCTCACGCGAACGGGCCGTGTTGTCATGGAGGTGACCTTTGAAGAACTTCGATCCGCGGTGATACAACGCCAGTCGACGCAGGTGCGCAGGCAACACGTACTTGCTTGCTTGGATTTTGGAGTCTTCAGGGCACGGCTCGAGGCTCCATGCAGCTGCCTTGATTGAGCTGTCTTGTGCTGGAAGATTCATGAGGCAACGAGTGGGACAGATTGAAGCGGCCTTTGCCGAAGAAGAGCCTTTAGGTCTCTTGTATTTGGCGAATGTGCCGTGACAGCTTCGCACTCTCGACGTGCTCGCTATGTCATCAGCGTATGTTGATTTGTGGCGCAAAGAGTTCGCTGCCCGGCACTGACCAGTGACTGGGATGTGTTGTACTTAGTCTTAGTCAGTCGGTTAGTCTTAGACACACAAGTTGGCCATTTTCCAAAGAGGAGTGGACTTGTGTCATGGCTTTCACGAGACAGAAACATAGTGCATCTTCTCCTGAAAGTGCCAACGCATTCTGCAGAGTACTTGCTGATGGCATGGGTCACGAGAGCTTCACATGTCGATACAGCGTGCCGAGCTTTGACGCCGGCCCGGGGAGTCCCTTGAGGCCCAAAGACTGCCAGAGACACCAGACTCACTAGACAACTCAGCAACATCCATGGGCTGTCTTAGTCACTCACAAGCAAAGCACAGCGACGTTTAACAGAATCGTCACGGCATGCCGCCGAAAGCGGCCCGCTCCCAAGAGTTCGGAGTATCAGCAGCGCAGCTTGCCGTCGCCATGCTTTCAGGTGGACAAAGCTAAGCAGAAGGAACGCGAACCTTGATGTCGTGTTGGCTGTAAGCAACCTTCTGACTGAAGTGCTGAGAATGGCATCTAAGGAAAAAATCGCCGTCGACAAGACCTTCGGACTGAAAAACAAGAACAAGAGCAAAGTGGTTCAGAAGTCCTTCGTCAGCACTTTTGCATAACCTTGCGCAAGATGCTTCCGTAACAGCTTAGGAACCGACATACTTCAAGCACATCCATCCATCCATCCATCCATCCATCCATCCATCCATCCATCCATCCAAGCAATTGTATGTTAAAGTTAGGCTCAGTGGCAACAGCATGGTGCATGCCGCATCAGCCGCGAACCCACCAGATGTCCTTCGGTCCCGACAGGAACGACTGGGCAAAGGTTAGGGATTCAATCAATCAATCACTTACTCAGTCAGGCAGTCAGTCAGTCAGTCGATCAGTCTATCAATCAATGAGTCAACAATCAGTCAGTCGATCAGTCCGCCAGTGAGTCAGTCAATCAATCAGTTTATCAATCCAATCTGTCAATCAGTTCATCCATACAGCTGACCGGTCATCCATCTATCCATCCATCGGAACAAGGGAGGAAGGGCGGGAGGGAGGGATCAAAGCGTTTCACCTACCCACCGAGCAATCCATTTGCAAAGCGCAGCAGCTGTGTGCTGCGTACTCTCTCCTTCTCCGTCGAGTGTCTCGGTCAGCTTCCCGGCTGCACTCAGAAGAGGCGCATGTCGCATGCGTGGATGGTGTCTCTGTCGACCTCACGGATCACTCCTGGAGCATGTCTACTACCAGCGCTAGCACATACCGGCGGGATGAATCGGGAGAGTCCTTCTCCAACTTTTTCATCTCTGCAATCTGCAGGCTCTGTCGGAACTCCTGCTTGAGTTACTCTCAAAGGAGCATGTGCCTGTGCGGCTGCATTTCCTAAAAGCATTCAGCGAAGACGTCTTCAATATGCTGTGATTGCAGAAGCTTTTTCATTGCTTCACTGCATTGCCGAAGACGATGCGGGATGTTGTTCCAAAGTCAGAAGTTGTCGCCTTGCTGCTCTGCTTGAAAGCTCTGGCTTCGAACCTGTTCCAAAGCTGTTCCTGGTACAGGGTCCGAGTTAAGGTCGGTCTTAAGCTTCTGACCCATAGTGTGTCACGACTTGAGCTGGTGAGTCATGTCCCATCCTCCCGAAATCGAAACGTGCGCGCTGCACTGGCCATTCTTAGTCTTACCCCTGTACTTGCAAGTGAGAGTGAGCCTAAATCATTTCCTGTAGAAGCCGTGGGCATCTGCCGTATTTCACCACAAGGCACCTGCAAGTTTGAATTTGAGGTGGCATCATTTTTTTCGAGAGTTGTAGTGCGATGGTCCGGGAAAGTGCGTTCTTGCTTGCTGTGCAGTGGCTGTAATGTTCGTTTGTTGTCGCAGCTCGGACTGACGTTGGACATCGGTCATGATGGATCCACGCAGCTGACGTCTTCAATTGGTTTGACAGCCTTATGGCACTTCAAGGCATTGACCGTGCTCTGGTAAGGTACATCAAGTCCATCGCAAACAATGCGTCAGGCATGCCTGGTTCTGTTCTGTACGGAAAGCATGCAGTCGCAGTTCTTGCTCGAGGTGCTCCAAAGGGTGGGAAGGAGCAAGCAGACCGAGATGCAAAGGACACTGCCTCTGCTGCTTCCTTCTTCGTTTGCCGCATGTGGCTTTGATATCAACTTCATGGAGGATGCCAAACAAAAGGAGATACAGAAAGCTGCGCTAATGCGCCTTGAGCTGGCATGGTTGTTTCCTCTCCGGGTCACACATTTCACAGTGGAGTTATGTGGAGTTGCAGTAGTGAGATGTAGTGAGTGTCAGAGTCGGCGAGATCTGCTGCAAGTCCGGCTGTGTCAACAACTGAGCAGATGCCGTACTAAGGAATTCATTATTCAACATGTCCACCGACAAGAAGGGAAGAGCGCCGGGCGATCAAGCCGTAGAAGTGCAGTGTCCACTGAAATGCAGCGCAGCCAACTGTCCGAGGTTCGACCCTGTGGCCAAAAAGAAGGCCAAAGCCGCGGAGGAGGAGGCAAACGTCTCCTGCTTCCGACATTTCTGTGCGCTGAGAGCATTACTTTTGCGTGAGCTGTTTCGTCTTTTTTGGATGGAGGGGCATGTTGGGGCTGCGGCTTCGTGGCTTTTGGCTTTTGCAGCTTTCCCGCTTCTTGACTTGTGGGCCTGGTTTCGGCTTCCACGACTTGTTGGCTTCTTGACGTCTCTCAACTTTTCGACTGTCCAGGCTACTGGCTTCGGAGTTGTGGTAAGTGGAAGTAGTCGTCGTCGTAGTCGCAGTGGCAGTGGCTGCAGCAGTAGCAGTAGCA